ACGCGCGACATGATGTTTGCATTCACGGAGTTGCTGATCTCCGCTTGCTGTGCATCCACCAGGGAGTCCCAGGTGGCGAACCTTTCCCTCCACCCTTCTCACTCTTCTAAGGTGACCTCCCACTGCCGCCGCCACGCTTCGGGGCGATGGTTAAGTAAAGGTCTGATCGAGAGAACGGTGGGTGCAATCTGCCAGAGCAGAACAACCTAAAGCCAAATACGCGTGCTTATGAAATGGGGGGAAGCCAGGACGACGCCATCCTCATGAGCAGCCTCGGCGGCTAACGCGATGCACCGGGAAGCCCGAGCCTGTGCGTAGCGAAAGGGTAAATCACCCTATCGCTACGCACAGTCGGGGACGTCCCCGACTGTGCGAAGGGGACTTCTTTTCATTTAGGAGCCTGTGCGTAGCGATATGGTCAATCACTCTGTCGCTACGCACAGGCTCCTAAATGAAAAGAGGTCCCCTTTCGCACACTCGGGGGCGTCCCCGACTGTGCGTAGCGATAGGGTGATTTACCCTATCGCCACGCACAGGCTCGCCATTTTTTGGGGAAGTGCATTGTTCCAGCGCCGCCCCTCTAGTCAGCTCAGGGGCGTCCCCGACTGGAGAGCGATCGACCGAGAGTTCACATGCCACGCTCTTAGGTTGAAGTGGAAGCTGGGGCTGGCACGGTGAATCGATGATGTTTGCATGAGGTTCTGGGGGGAAGCAAAGGAGGCGCTGGCGTTCGGATGTCTGTCGACGTCGACGCGCAGTTCGAGCGCCACCCAGATCTTGATAGTTCGGAGTTTGTCCACGAGGATGCTAGACAGAGCGACAACCCTTGAACACGAAAGAATGCGACGCTGACTCTTGAGCTCCGTGCTACGATGACGATGACGAGGACTACTTCGACGACAACTGCGACGATCGCGACGAGCGCGACGGGCGCGGAGTGCCACGACGGACGACGACGGCGCCCACGACTCTCGACCACGACTTCGCGACGACGGCGACTGGTGACAATCGCCCGCCCGCCGCCGTTGACGCCGTCGTCGCCGCCGCCATCGTCGTCGTCGTCGCGTTCGTTTTCTCTGTCATGACCATCGCCGCCGTCGTCGACGCCACCGCTGCGGCCGCCATCGCCGTCACCGCCGTCGCCGCCGGCGTTGCCGGCGCCGTCGTCGCCATCGTCGTCGACGACGGGGCCGCGCAACCGATCCCAACCAAAAAATTCCCAAGGGGTGCGGTCCAATGAAGTTTTCCCAGTTGCGTCAATCCGCAGCGACGAGAACGCTTCCTGAAAGCCCTCGAACAATTCTCCAAATAACCGCGGGCTCATCCAACCATCCGCGCCTCCGTCCCCCCCCTCCTCCTCTCCTCTGGGAACGTCCGAATCCCAGAGCAAATAATCTGGTATGTTCGGACTTGAACCACCCATTGTACGTCTGAAGCTACCTCGCTTTGATTTGGGCGCCCGCCGCGAGCCTTCCTCCCCCTCCGTCCCTTCCTCACCTCCTCTCCTCATTCTCCGCCTCCTCATCACCATCCCTCCTCTCCTCGGTATCCGCCTCCGCTTCATCCTCCCCCTCGTTTCTCCCCTTCCTCCTCCTCCTTCACCTCCGCTCCCCCCCATCCCCCCGCGTTTTTTTCCCTCCTTCCCCCGCGTCCTTGCTCCCTTCATCATGTAATCGCTTCGCTCAGTCCGCCGGCCCATAATGTCGCACCGCGGTCGCCTGTCCGAGTGGTCGTTTGCAGTGTGGAGCTGCGGCGTCGGGAGTTGTGTAGTGTTGGGGGCGTTCTTGGGGCCCTCTTGGGTCGTCCTGGAGGCCTCTGGGGCCGTCTTGGAGCCGTCTTGGGCCGTCTTGGGGCCCTCTTGGGGGCCTCTTGGGCCCTCTTGGGGCGATATTGGAGTCTTCTTGAGCCGTTTAGGGGCGTCGGAAACGCCCAAATCTGTCCAACACCAAAGGAAAAGCACAGGTTTTTGCCTCTTGGGGCCCTCTTGGGAGTTCTCTTGGAGGCCTCTCGGGGCATCTTGGAGGTTTTTTGGCCCATCTTGGAGACGTCTTGGGCCGTCCGGAGGCCATCTTGGGGCGTCGTGGAGCGATCTTCGGGCGTCTAGGACCTCTCTTGGACCGTGTTGGGGGCGTTTTTCTTGGGGGCCTCTTGGGCCGTCTTGGGGCGACCTTGGAGGCCTCTTGAGCCATTTAGGGGCGTCGGGGAACCGAAAAGGTTAAAACGCCCAAATCTGTCCAACACCAAGGGAAAAACACAGGTTTTTGCCTCTTGGGGCCCTCTTGGGAGTTTTCTTGGAGGCCTCTTGGGGCATCTTGGAGGTTCCTTGGCCCATCTTGGAGACGTCTTGGGCCGTCCGGAGGCCATCTTGGGCGTCGTGGAGCGATTTTCGGGCGTCTCGGACCTCTCTTGGACCGTGTTGGGGGCGTTCTCGGGGCCCTCTTGGGCCGTCTTGGAGGCCTCTGGGGCCGTCTTGGGCCGCCTTGGGGCCCTTTTGAGGGCCTTTTGGGCCCTCTTGGGGCGATCTTGGAGGCCTCTTGAGCCGTTTAGGGGCGTCGGGGAACCGAAAATGTTGAAACGCCCAAATCTGTCCAAAACCTAAGAAAAAAAACACTGATGTTTGCCTCTTGGGGCCCTCTTGGGAATGCTCCTGGAGGTCTCCTGGGGCATCTTGGAGGCTTGTTGGGTCATCTTGGAGACATTTTGGGCCGTCTGGGGGCCATCTTGGGCGCCGTGGAGCGATCTTCGGGCGTCTCGGACCTCTCTTGGATTGTGTTGGGGGCCTCTTGGGGCCCTCTTGGGGCGATCCTGGAGGATCTGGGGGAGTGTCCCGGGCTCCGCCCGGGGTACTTTTGATCCAGGGACCCCAGGGGCCGCCCCGCGCGCGCGAACTAGAAATACTGTTTACCAGTTACCGGAGATCTTAGCACGCCTCTGGCCCGTTGGGCCGGCGAATTATCCCCCCCTCCCTCCTCCCCAATTCATCCTTCTCCTCTTCCTCTTCCTCCCCTCCTCCTCCCCTCCTCTTCTTCCTCCGTTTCACCCCCTACCGGCCCCTCCTCCACCTTCCCCCACCCCTCCTCTCATCCTCCTCCCTCTCCAAGTTCCCCCGTCCAATCCCCCTCAGACAGAGTACGGTAGTTTGTCTTATTGCACTTGGATGTTTGCGTGCGCGTGCGCACGCACTGTGAACGCGATGCGCCCCGAGACTCCCAAATACCAATCAAAGCGGACATCAAAGCATGTACATCCAAATCCTTCACGTAGCACGCGCATGCTATGTTCACACATGCGCTCATGGCGATGGTTGATACATACTTGTGCCAAATTGTATGGCTTCTGACGCACGTGGATGATTGCCCGGAAGATCATCAGATAATATCTTCACGCTGGACCCGCGGCGCGGCGGTCTACGACGGGGATCTCCACGCTGGGGGTCTCCCATGGCACCCAGATCGCCTAAGACGGCCTAAGATTGCCTCCGCGACGACCCCAAAGGCTCCCAGGCCAAGGCCCCCAGCACGGCCCGAGAGGCCCCCAGCATATCTAAATTGGAGATCTCTACGCTGGGGGCCTCGGCTTTGACATCTACAGCGGGGATTTTCACGCTTGGGGCCTCAGCGCGAAGATCTTCAGTTGAGATTTTCACGCTCGGGATACTTTCGGACTTCCAGGTCGCCAGAGTCATCCAATATGGCCTCCAAGACAACCCCAAAGGCTTCCAGGATTGCCAGAGGCTCCTCGCGCGAAAATATTGAGTGAAGGCCTTCGCGCTTGAGGCCTCAGCGCGAAGATCTTCGGTCCAAATCTTCACGCTGGGCACTTTTTGGGGCCTCCAGATCGCCAAGAAACCAAATGTGGCTTCCATGACCAATTCAAGAGGCCCCAGTCCCAAAGGCACCCGACCAAGCCCAAGTGAATCCCCGCGCAAAGATCTTCAGTAATTCGAAAATCTTACAGCTGGAGGCCTTGGCACGGCGATCTACAGCGGAGACCTCCACGCTGGGGATGTTCCAGAGCCCCCTCAACCGCCCAAGCCGGCCCAAATTTTCTTCCAAGAGACCGCCCACAAGGTTCATTTCCAAAGGCCCCCCGACACGACACCAGAGGGCCCCAGCAGAAATATCTACATTAAGAATATTGATGCGGGGGGGCTGCTTTTGGAATTTAAGAGGCGATCATTACCCTCTGGGCCTCAGCGCGAAGATCTGAAGTGATCTTCCTCCCCACTGTTTTCTCGAGCCGCCAGATTTCCAAAGAAACCCAATACGGCCTCCAAGACAACGCAGAGAGCTCACAGGATTGGCCCACACGCCCCCGACTAAGCCTTAGCGCGAAGCTCTTCAGCGAAGATCTTCCCAATTGGAACACAATCCTTTTCCTCTCCCTCCTCATTTCCACCACCTCCTCCTCCTCCTCCTCTTCCCTTTCTCGTTATTCTGCTCCTTCTCCTCCTCATCCTCTCTACCGTTTCCTCCTCCTCATTATCCTCCCCTTGTCCTCGCGCGAGGGGGGGCGATGCCTCAATGGGCCGAATCTGCACAGCGTAGCATAGTTGGAGGGCGAAGCAGCGAAGCCATCAAACAGTCATGAAAATATTGGAGTCAGGTCCCTATGTGGCTGCGGAGGCCGATGCAAATTTCCAACGACGGTCCACCGTGGTGCACTGTTAAGATATTATGCTAGTGGCCAGCAATGCGTTGCATGGCATGAAGTGGTATACGATCCGATACTATGACTATGACGTGCTATGCATTGTTATGCTATGCTATGAGGTGAAGCGCTATGCGGTACTATGATGTTCCATGCTATGGTATGCTATGCGTGCGCGATGATAAACAATTATGCTGCTTTGTATAGCATACGCATGCATGGTAACGCTTGGCCATGCAGAACAAACTGCGTAACACTACCCCACCGAAGACGTATCGCGACTCTCCGCCCCGCCGCCCCGTTTATGGGCAGCGCAGACAGACGCAGCACAGGGCTTCCACTTCTGGTTCATGAGCCGCGAGGAGTTCCTGGCACTGCCTGAGGACAGGCCAATGCCCCGCCACCAGACCCTGAGGGATCAGGGCAAGTTGGTGCGCATCTTCATGACCGAGGCAGACGTCCTGTCTGGAGCGGCGAGGACAAAGGCTGCAGTCAGCCATCGCTGGGTCAGGCATTGGCACATTGACCCGGACTGCACCAAGCTGAAGAAACTGAATACGATTCTGCGCGAGAGCCCGGACATCACCCACGTCTGGATCGACTGGGCGTGCATTCCGCAGAAATGGAAGGACGACGCCACGGAAGGGCGCAAAACATTCGTGGAGCAGGAGGAATTTAACAGGACTTTGGCGAACGTCCTCCCATATCCGTAATGGCTTCGCCCCCTACCGCCGGCCCCCTCTCTCGGAGAATGGGCCATGGAAGAGCTAAGTCATGAGGCTTTGGCGCTGTCGTGCAGCAGTATCGGAACTTCATGCGGGGCCGATTCGCAATCGGCAAAACCAACTGATCACAAGAGGGGTTACCACACAGGGCGATTGGTAAGACGTGTATGGTTTACGAGCTTGGTTACCACACCTTGGGATTCAAGGGCCGAGGGAGTACTCGCAGTTTGGGTCACCACGCCTTGCGATGGATGTGCGTGAGGGGTGGCACCGAATTTCAGAAATGTGGCAGATCCACTGTGTTTTTGGACCCTGACCCCGCGGATCTGCGTGAAGGGTGGCACCGAATTTCAGAAATGTAGCAAATCCCCTGTGTTTTTGGACCCTGACCCCGCGGATCTGCGTGAGGGGTGGCACCGAATTTCAGAAATGTGGCAAATCCCCTGTGTTTTTGGACCCTGACCCCGCGGATCTGCGTGAGGGGTGGCACCGAATTTCAGAAATGTGGCAAATCCCCTGTGTTTTTGAACCCTGACCCCGCGGATCTGCGTGAGGGGTGGCACCGAATTTCAGAAATGTGGCAAATCCCATGTGTTTTTGGACCCTGACCCCGCGGATCTGCGTGAGGGGTGGCACCGAATTTCAGAAATGTGGCAAATCCCATGTGTTTTTGGACCGTGACCCCGCGGATCTGCGTGGGGGTGGCACCGAATTTAAGAAATGTTGCAAATCCCATGTGTTTTTGGACCGTGACCCCGCGGATCTGCGTGAAGGGTGGCACCGAATTTCAGAAATGTGGCAAATCCCATGTGTTTTTGGACCCTGACCCCGCGGATCTGCGTGAGGGGTGGCACCGAATTTCAGAAATGTGGCAAATCCCATGTGTTTTTGGACCCTGACCCCGCGGATCTGCGTGAGGGGTGGCACCGAATTTCAGAAATGTGGCAAATCCCTGTGTTTTTGGACCCTGACCCCGCGGATCTGCGTGAGGGGTGGCACCGAATTTCAGAAATGTGGCAAATCCCATGTGTTTTTGGACCCTGACCCCGCGGATCTGCGTGAGGGGTGTCGATTTCGAGCCCCCCCAGCAATTCAGACAACGCGCCCAGGTGAGGCTAAAAATTCTGTTTGGGCCTCCCCCCCCCTCGCGCGGTCAATCAACTAGTTACAGTAACCAGCAAGAAATCAACTAGTTACAGTAACCAGCAAGAAGCAGAACTGTAACACTGGAAATTCTTTACGCTTCGCGCATCCCCACCAGCCCATCTCACAACAGCAACTCTTGCGAAGCGTGCCGACAGTTGTGTTTTTCAGGCGTGTGTCCGCTTGGCGCCGCATACCCCCCCTGTTCCTCCTTCTTCCCGCCTCCGACGACGACGTCGACGACGACGACGGCGACGACGAAGGCGGCGGTGCGGGCCCTCGTTGTGTGAGTCCTTCGGCCCCGTCGTCTTTGTGTGAGTCTTTCGGGACCCTATTCCTGGTGTGAGTCGTTCGGTATCCTCGTTGTGTGAGTCGTTCGGACCCTTCCTCCTGGTGTGAGTCGTTCGGGTTGGTCGTGTTGTGAGTCGTTCGGGCTCCTCGTGGTGTGAGTCGTTCGGGCGTCTCGTCCTGGTGTGAGTCGTCGGGGCCCCTCGTCCTGGTGTGAGTCGTTCGGGTTCCTCGTGGTGTGAGTCGTTCGGGCGTTTCGTCCTGGTGCGAGTCGGTCGTGCTTCTCGTGGTGTGCGGCGTTTGGGCACCTCGTCCGCGTGCGAGTCGTTGGGGCCCTTCGTCGTAGGAGTCGTAGTAGTAGTAGTAGTAGTAGTAGTAGTAGTAGTAGTAGTAGTAGTAGTAGTAGTAGTAGTAGTAGTAGTAGTAGTAGTAGTCGTAGTCGTAGTAGTAGTAGTAGTAGTAGTAGTAGTAGTAGTAGTAGTAGTAGTAGTAGTAGTAGTAGTAGTAGTAGTAGTAGTAGTAGTAGTAGTAGTAGTAGTAGTAGTAGTAGTAGTAGTAGTAGTAGTAGTAGTAGTAGTAGTAGTAGTAGTAGTAGTAGTAGTAGTAGTAGTAGTAGTAGTAGTAGTAGTAGTAGTAGTAGTAGTAGTAGTAGTAGTAGTAGTAGTAGTAGTAGTAGTAGTAGTAGTAGTAGTAGTAGTAGTAGTAGTAGTAGTAGTAGTAGTAGTAGTAGTAGTAGTAGTAGTAGTAGTAGTAGTAGTAGTAGTAGTAGTAGCAGTAGTAGTAGTAGTAGTAGTAGTAAGTAGTAGTAGTAGTAGTAAGTAGGAGTAGTAGTAGTAGTCGTAGTAGTAGTAGTAGCGTAGTCGTAGTCGTAGGTAGTAGTCGTAGTAGTAGTAGTAGTAGTAGTAGTAGTAGTAGTAGTAGTAGTAGTAGTAGTAGTAGTAGTAGTAGTAGTAGTAGTAGTAGTAGTAGTAGTAGTAGTAGTAGTAGTAGTAGTAGTAGTAGTAGTAGTAGTAGTAGTAGTAGTAGTAGTAGTAGTAGTAGTAGTAGTAGTAGTAGTAGTAGTAGTAGTAGTAGTAGTAGTAGTCGTAGTAAGTAGTGGTAGTAGTAGGAGTAGTAGCAGTAGAAGTAGTAGTGGGAGTAGTAACAGTAGGAGTCGTCGTAGTAGTCGTAGTAGTCGTTGTCGTAATGGACTCAGGGCGGCCGTCGTCGAAAGCAGCGATCTTTCCCGACCAGTGTTGTTGTCGTTGCCACTCTGGCTTCTAGTATTGGAGTGTGGCTGTGAGCTTCGCTCCGCCTACCCGTAACGCACGCGCCTGCTGTGTTTTTTGGCACGAGGTGGCTTGTGTGCGCAAATGCCGCACGTAGCCAAGCATTTCTACGATATCTCCATTTTTGCATCTGATGTGAGTAATATTATTCTCTATTCGCCCCGCGTTCGTGTCAGCAGGTCGTCGTGGCTGTTAGCGCTCGGTGACATGCAGGCACGGCGGTCAGCGCGAGATGTCTCGGAGACGCGCCACTTTCGAGATTTGATCCGCAGGATCCATCGTCACTGCGACATCACATCATGGATTCCCCTTCACACCTATACACGCATGTATTCAATACAGAAGCACGCATACATCAAAGGCGGTCCGACACACATCAAGAACGCGCAGAAAGACATGCACAGAAGTTCAACGTTGTCTTGCGCCTCTTCCCAAGAGAGTACGAGTGGTGCGCCAGTTTTCCTGCGGATGTTGAGTAGGCACATGTGGAGGTCTGGGAGTCGTCGTTCCAAGTGTCGTCTGCCGCGCTCGCGCGCAGGTGACGCGTGGAGCGTTACGGAACGCGCGGGCTGAAGTGGTTCGCTTTGCCCTCTGGAAAGACGGGACACAGTCGATTTAGGTAGAACGCTCTTCGTTGTCGTGCAGGAGTACAGCGCGCGGAGAGGTCTTGCAGGTATGCACAAGCTCGAGGCTCTCAACATGACTGTCGGCGTATCCCGTCTCGTTCCATGTAGCGGATCGAGGCTTATCGCGCCTCCGGGTGTCCAGGGGCCTGGGGTCTAGTTCTCTGGCGTTGCAGGTGTTCCAACTGTCAGGATATAGTATTATACACGGTTGTCCTTGGTGCAGTTCCAGGTAACTTTCAAGTTTCCCACGGGGTGAGTCGATCGGGTGTCTCGCGGCGTGAGCAGCTCGGGCTTCTGGGGCTAGTGGGAGTCGGTCCGGCCTTTCCGTGTGTGTGAGACGTTCGTTCCGCTCTTCGTCGTCTTCCTCTTTTTCCTTCTCGGAGTTCGTGTCGTGCGGCCACGCAGGTTTTGACCTGCGTGGTTGAGGCCATTGCCGAAGGCTAAGGAGCGCCCAGGAGTGCCCCAGCGTTGTCGTCGCTGTTGCCACTTTGGCTCGTAGCATTGCAGTTGGGCTGTGAGCGCAGCTCCGCCCATGAGCACAAGCCTCTTTGTCCTGGTTTCCTTGCTGTCGGCATGGGGAGGTGCCGGTACGCCCTGATATTTTGGCTTGCAGAAGGGGTACTTTGGAGCGAGAAGGGCGAGGAGTCGGTGATCATGCCTCCTTTTTGTGGCAAGTTCCGATCGTCGCCGCACTGCCGTCGCCCAGCATACATGGCGGAGTGTGCGCCGCCAGAGGTAGTTCTGCACATAATCCAGAACGCCGTCAGAGCTTTAGTGATCACGAAGAAGCCGATGCGGGATGGCAGCGGTGACCTCAATTGCACGAGGAAGCTCGCCGCTCAGGTAGGCACGAGTTTGTATTTCCATGTGTGCAGCATGAACCTGTTCACCGACCAAGACGCCCGTTGGCGCGTAGACTTTGTCGGCGACGTTGCAACTGTGAAGCTTCGCATGGCGGGGATGATAAGTACGCTGGCGTGTCGAACATGGGCACCCAGGGCAATGCGCGTAGCGCGGGTTTTTGAGATTCTGTCATTGCTCAATTTCACGTGAGCCCACTTACTTGGAAGCAGCTTATCGGAGCGGACCGCTCTATGTCGGCACGGCAGCGACGAGAAATGAGCATGCTATTCGCACCAGGCGCAGTGGACCATGAGCAGCCCCTCCTCTTCGGCGGCGTCGTACTTACCCGCAAGAGCGTGCACTGAAGGATTTGGTGTATTTCGCTGTGACGATGGCGCATCTCTCGTGCAACAATTCGGCGGGTTTGTTTGGTATTCCGCGTGGATGCTTTGGGTGACGTGGTCAAGCTGAGTTCTAGGCGCTAGTTCTCTCTGGGATGGATGACAGGGTCACCCAGTCCGACCAGATAATCATCTCGTTCGCGTCTCTGCAACATCTGTGCGAAGCAGATTGTCATTTTTTTTTTTCTCTCTCTCTCTCTCTCTCTCTCTCTCTCTCTCTCTCTCTCGGCGGGTACGTTTAGAATTCCAGGCGGTCTGCCGCGTTGGTGGCGCGTAGCAGTGGCGATGCTCGGGGGCCCCGGCGGCGGCGGCATGGAAACGTCGAAAGCGGCGACGACGACCACGACCACGGTAGCGACGACGACGATGACCGCTCGACGACGTCGACGATGACGACCACGACCACGACCACGAC